CGTCGTTCGTTCGTCTCCTCCTCCTCTCTCTCTCTCTCTCTCTCTCTCTCTCTCTCTTTTTTTCTTTCTTTCTCGTTCGTATTTCCGGAGAATTAGCGCACGTCGTTATAGCTGACAGATTTTCACGTCGCTTTTTCCCGCTCGCTCGCTCGCTCGAACTTTGTTAGAAACGTTTGTTCGACCCAGATCGCACAAGTTCCGGTGTCCTCCGCCTTGATGGCTTCTAATCTAACGTCTCTAAGGTCGGACGCTTAATTGCGCGGTTAAGTTTAGGACGAATCGACCAACCGAGTGTGTCAAACTGAGCGATACGTTAGAAGTTACGCTAATAATTGCTACAAATAGCATGCATATTCTATATACATACGAGGTTAAATCGAGTCCGATTTGGTGTCTATTCGAATATACCGATCTTTAATTAATCTAAAAGCTTTAATATTATCTTAGCATCGCGGTGCGACGATTAAAGCTAAATAATTCACGCTCTTTTAATCCTTGAATGCATGATTTTCTAATGAAGATTTGCGTAGACTTGAAATAGCAGAGAAAATCGATAGATAAATAGCTTTTTTTTAAAACTGAATAAAAAAAAGCGCTAAAAATACTAGGAGGAAATAAATGCTGAAAGAATTTCCAAGAATCCTTCATGTATCCAAGTGTTAAACATCGATCGCTCGGAGCGTGCAAGAAAAGCGAGAGAGACAGTTCGAATCGACTTACTTCTTGTATCTCCTGCTTGTCCTTCTTGCCGCTAACGTGCTTGACGTCCCTGCGGTTCCGCTTCGTAACTTCAGCAGCTTCGCCGGCCGCTTCCTTCGCCTGCTCGTTTTTCGCCTGTTCGATCTGCTCGGTCGCGTTCACTCCCTTGGGCACTCGGACGATGGTCATGGTGCCGTTTCCGTCGGTGACCACCGCCTCGACGTTGGTGTCCGCATCGATGTCCTTGTCGAGATTACGCGGATCGATCGCTAGGTAGAGATCGTCCTTGCGGCCCGCGTGATTGATCGTGTTGCACTGATTGTACGGCACGCACACGCAGTCCTCGTAGGACGTCGAGCCGAAGCTGTTGTCGGCGCCGTTAAATTGATAATCGCCGTTCCCCGAAAACTGATTGTTAGAAATGTATTGTCCGGCAGCGCCGAACTGCTTGCCGTTCGGCCTCTCGTAAGTGGGATAACGATTGGCGTAATCTTTTCCGGAGGACGACGACAACGACGACGAGGAGGAGAAGGCCGCCGGACCGCTGTTCGACGTGGGCGTTTGAACCTTGAACGCTTTCTTGTAGTCATCTAAGTCGTTGAACGCGGCGCCGTACGTTCCGCCGTTTCCGTATCCGTAATTGCCAAGTCCGTTGCCGCCGAACACGGGCGCAACTACGGGATTATGCGCGGCGCCGACGGCCGCACCGACGTCTCCGTGATGGTAATGATGATGGACGTGTTGCTGAAGGCCCGACGAGCCCGGCTGATGCAGCACCACTTGTTTCTTGTCTATGTACTTGTCCTCGAAATCGGGTTCAATGTCCTCGTAAATGGGTTTCGACAGGAACGGTGGTGGCAGGCCGGGTTTCTTGTAGCCGGGATAGGGTCCGATGAAGCTGGGCGGGGGGGGCTTCAACGGTCCAGATCCGGGATAGATGCCGGGTCCGGGATAGATGCCGGGTCCGAGCGAAGAACCGAAGCTCGGTGGCAGCGGAACGGGTTTCGCCGGGCCGTAGGGTCGCTTCACAATGGGGATAGCCGGCAGTGGATGACCCACGGGCTTGATTGTGACCGGTTGCGCGTAGATAACATCGTGCGGATGAATGTCACGGTGCGGAGAATAATAAGGGCGTCGCCCTTCCACGTCATCGCACTGCAAGAAATATATTATTATGTGAATATCGTGAACTAGCGCGTAAATTGCAGTTTCCCGAGCCTTTTATAATTTGTGAGTTGAATAAGGAAGAAATTTGGAACACTAATTACACTTGTGTTTTTAATTATATTTACGATATGATCTATAAGCCGTGTTTTTAATTAAAAATATAAAGAAATATGATTTTAAACATGATAGTTATGTGAATTATACTTATTGAGCGATTGTACTTACGTTCATCAAACCGAGAGAACAGAGCTTGTCTCTGATATAAGTACGCGCGATCGTATCATTGCCAAGCAAAAGGGCATTTTTCACGTTGGAATCAGAGTAGACCTCGCCGTAGCCCTCGAGATTGCGACCCTGCCGATTGGATACGAGAATGTCGTCGATTACGGATTCAATCTATAATTAAAAATATATCGTAGATATCGTTGTGGATATCTAATAACTTTAAAAATGCTCAGTTTTTAATTAAATATTGAAACCTGATTTTATCGAGATTTAATTCTAGCCGAAAATATTTAACAATATTGATAATCTTTACCGATTGCTTCTGATTAACGACCTCGGCAACGCTGCTGGCGCTCGATTGAATATTGGCGTTGTATGTCGATGGTTGTTGTAACTCCTTCGGCGTGTCAGAACCTTCAAATGTAACGGGACGATAGTTCTCTTGTTCCACACTCGCGGCTTGATTCGAGTCTTGATTCTTCCACGGTTGCCATTGTTGTTGAGGAGAGTCACTTGGAGTTTCGTATACTTGAGTACTAAGTGCTCGTCCCGCTATTGTCAAGCAAGCTATCAGGATGAATTGCGTCTTCATCCTATAACAGAAAAACACGAGAGGTCTAACCATCTTCTTAATCTCGTAACTGCAAATGAAAAGTAAAGCAGAAAGCTTAACAATCTTATCGTATTTAATCAAATTTAACCGAATTATATTCTACTTTATCATTTTTTTTTTTTTTTGTTATTTAATCTGGTGTTAGAATTTATTTTTTAATATAAAACAATCTTATAATCCATCATCATAACTTTATTTAATGTGCTTGACATAATTTTATTCTGCTATTTTTTTCGCACTGTTTAGTGTATTATTCTAATCTTATTTTGACTCGGAATTTTCTATTTTACGACTGTTTCAAAGATCTCTCGGCAATTTCTCCGCGAGTACCAGGTCACAGATCCACGTGAAAGTGCATTTCTCCTTTCTCCGTTCAATTTTGTTGTCCATGACGATCGCGACATAGCTACTCGAGGTCAAGATCAGTCTTTGTGCGGGAAAGACATGTCTTTAGCATTTCGTGCAATTATTCATTCTTCTGCATTAATTCAATGTCTCCCATTGTTCCGAAAGGCGAGGAGTTTTATTGCCTACCGGAATAGCATTCTTACTCATCCACGTGTGCATATCAGTTTCCAGCAATCGTGCCGGCTAAGACTGTCTTGCGTGAAGCGAAGACGCGTGTGTGTAATTAAGCTAAGAGGGACCTTAACGAAAGCGAGAGGAAGTTGGGTGAAAGTCGTTTAACCGGTTTGTACAATGGTGACGTCTCTGGACGCCACCGAGCACATCTCTCGAATTATTATTCTTTTCGAAATCACTCTGTCGACTCGGTGGCAGCAATTGCGTAACGAATGCGGCCTGACGTTCGTCCGGGCCGGTTGATTTAAATTTCAAATCGGATAAAGTGTTTTTGTGCACTATCTAACATTTTGCGATTAATATGCTGGTTAGATGAGAAGCGATTTATATTCGGAGAAATACGTGCATAACGTGTCACACGACACGTCTTTCATTTACCGCCTACGACAGTGAAAGTCGATTACGTGTCGCGTACGCGCGGACACTTCTAATTTTTTTACTTCTCACCTGACAGTCGTAAGTTTCTGTATATTTAGTACTCTTTGTCTTTCGTATGACGAAACCTTTGTGACATTACAGTCGCGAGCGACGCGATTGACTTATATTCTCGTTAACAATCCTCAAGTGATTTCTTTTTTATTATTTTTATATTATTATGATTCAATTATCTTAAAGTAAATTAGCAATAGAAAAACAAGTGTATCGCCTGAAATTGCTTAACTTATTAAAAATTTTACGACTATTTGAATCTTTTATAGTTTTACGCTTTTATTATGCGAGTTTTCATTACTCGAAGCTGAATCATGGATTTTGCTTTTTATTTTTCGCTCGATTTTTTTTACAATAACGCAAGGTTCACGAAATATAAGAATAGTTTAAATTTAAAAATGAAATCAAATCTTTTGTGTGTTCCTTTTTTAAATTATTCTTTAAATTAGCTACCGAAATAAAAATTGATCGCAACTAATGATATCTTCCTGTTAAATATTCACGACAGAATGTAGGATAATTTGTGTGCAATTTTAGCATACAATAGTAGGTCAGATATGCTTGAGGAAACCACGAATCTGAATGTGAATAAAGCAGAGGCGGTATATTTAAAAAGGAGAAAGTTTTTATATTTCACAGATAGAGCGCAACGTAGGCGATGTCTTTTCACTTCTAATTTCGACAAAGCATATTTTATCTTTTATAAAACGTAAATCTGTCTAAGAAATACATTGGAAAAATATCCGATACCGCTGCTGAACGAAAGGCGGTGCACATGGATATTACATTACCTAACTAATCGATAATCAATAAAAACAATACTAGTCACGATTGTTGCTCGTCATAAAATATAGGGGAAAATATTTTTCCCTCTGAAAAACAACGAAATTTCCGCTACATTAGACACTCTATGGTCAAACATAAGCTTTAACATTTATTTTTTTTACTATTTACGTTTACAATCAATTTGTACTTAAAAATACGACATCAAGAATTCGACTATTTTGTAATTGATTATTTGCTTTTCATAGAATTAATTTCAATTTAATAAGATAATTCGTAAACTTCAATCGCAATCCACAAAACAATATTTGTTATTTATTAATTATTAGTTTTTTTTTTACAATGTTAAATTTTTAAAAATTTATAATAATTTCTATATATTTAAAAAAATTTATTTTATATTATATTATATTATTTTATATTATGCAAAATTACTCTTGCAGGAACAATGCATGTGGCAATACCATTTATAGAATATCAATTTAAATTGTTAATTACTTGAAAATAGATACCTGATTGTTGTCTTCGGATGCACCCGCGACGGACTGATTTTCTTGAACGGTGACCACGTCTTATATTCGCACTCTCGCTCTCTACCCGAATACTTTCTCTCTGTGCGCAACGCAGCTGTCTGTGCTTTTACCGAAGTCGCTCCGAATCTTATATACGAGTACCTTATATACCTTTCGGGGATGCTGGGCCGGTCTATCGGTGGGGTACATCCGTGAGTCATTCGACAAGTAGACATCCGTTTTCGTGACGCTTCTTTGGCAGATGGTAAAACAAAGAAAAAAAAAAGCGTAATTGGGGCAAAGTAGCGCGTGCATTCACTCGTGTTTTTGTCAAAACATATAGTTCATTGCACCTCACACTGTTTATTTTTTCCTATTATAGCTGTAATATTTTGTTTTTTTTTAATTAATATAAATATAAATTGCCAAACAATTGCCAATACGCAGGAAACCATATTTCGTTATAGTTTCCACTCTCAATAGAATTTAGAATATTTATTTTATCGGAAAAATATATAAAAAAACAGAGAGTTCAATGAACTCCAATGTGGTTATGTATGGTTGCAATTTAAATCGCAATTTTAAGAGAATTTTACATTCAATAAACCATTAATTTTGCATCGTGAAAAAAAAATCGGTATATCTTATACGATTTTTATTAAGCCAAGATTTATTAAATTATACTTATATATATATATATATACTATATTATACTTTAATATTTACAATATTAATTTAGAAAATTTTAATTGCTAATGAGAAGTCCACCATATCAGTAATTATAAATCATTTAGGTATTTAACAATTTAATTACCTCGTGATCGATTGTGTCACTTAATTATACAAAAAACCGTATAATATTTATAATAGCAAGATTAGCGTAAAAATGGAACGCATATTTTAGGGTGAACATTTTAAAAAATTATGCCGCATTGCGTACAGTTTATATTCCGCATAATTAAGAATGAAACAATTAAACATAGCAATAAAATTTCCATATTTTCTATGCAAATCAGTTTGATTAAAATGCTTTCTTCGAAAGATCGCCATCAGGCGAGTCGACCCGCGTGGTCCTTCGTAAAATCGATTTGCCACACGATTCCTGAGAACACGGGCTGGGTCTTCCTGCGGATTTGGCATTACGTAAGAGACAAGAACGCTCAATACGAATGCTGTCGCCTGTTGTGCCTAATGTGCAGTGTATTCCGTGAATAAACGAAACCATCTTACGTCATTTGGGTTTTTCACCAATGAAATTACGTAAAAATTACTACCTATTCAGGTCATTTCGGTAAGGTCATCTCGTAAGCAAACTTCCAGGATTTTATTGAAGGAAACTGTGGCATTAGTGGTATTAGTGTCGCAACTGCCTACCGTAAAGACATTTTACGTCTTGTAAATTGTAAATTATTATCGTATTATTTCATAAATTCCCGGTTGTTAGCCCAAATTCCTCTTCATAGCAACCAAGTCGTAGCGCACTATCTGACCCATTAAAAATACTTACTGCCTGCGTCCAAAGAATTTTCTTCTAATCCTTCCGCCTCGTCACTCTCTGAAATAAAATTAAAACATCACAGATAGACATACCGAAGGGACGCATCAGGCTGGATACTTTCTTTTTATTTCAAAGTGCATCGACCTTGATTTCGTGTTTGGATCATCGCGTTCTATATAGAATAATAATTTTCCCCCTCAATCGGCCGTGTTAGAAAGTGAAGAGGCGTATTTCGAGGCACCGACGCCTTCTTTTCATTGAGGGAAACGGTTGTAATATTATCTCCATCAATCGGAACGCGATTGCGTTATATGTATAAGAAAAAGAGTCTGTTAAGAATCCCCTCAACGCATCGTAGAGCCGAATTATCCATGCCTAGCGGATCGTTCGACTCTCAGGATCCGGGAGAAAGTGCTCGCGCGTATATTCCAGGGGTCGATTGCGTCAGTGAACTTTTCCGCTTTTCAGGTCTCGCGGGAGTTTTTCGTCCAATCGAATCTCGTAGTTTTCCACCGTGAGGGAGGCGATTTCGCAGTTTGAGAAGAATTGCGTGGGAATTTTTTCAGTTTTCGTTTCCCATTTCGGGTCCCAGGGGGAAATTACTCGGAGGAGGGACAGGGAACCCTTTAAGAACTCTTCTCTTTCTTGTCACGTATCGGTGATCGGAGCGGTGTTTCTGCTGTCGATTTCCTTTCACGCGCCACGCGCAGTTTGTCATTGCGTAACAGGGATTTTCCGCGGTCTCGTAACATTGGGGAATTTTGTGCCGCGGATCACGCCGCATTAAGCGGCGCGTGAATTGTCTTGACCTAATTTAGATTTCCTTATGCGTTTTTTTTTCTTCTGCGCCTGTGACAAATGACGCGAACAATAAAAACACGTAATAATAGCACGGTTTGAGCGCGTGTTAAGTGTCTTCACAAATATGTGAAATGTCACTTATGACAGAAATACTTGTATAGAAAAATTTCTCAGTATATATTGTTTTTAAAAAGAGCGAACTAGCTGAGAGAAATTTTTTAGCAAAGAATCTGTAAACGACCACTCTGGCATTTTTCGTGGCATTTTTCACCTATCGATTTCTATTCAGCGCTGCTATCTGCATCCATTTTACAATAGGAATTGTATCGTGGAATATCACAGAAAAACTTTTCTTGTTCTGAACCTGCGAAACTTTTTCAAATTAACTCTGCACAAGTATGTTATACAATTATTTTCATTGCACAATCAATTATTGAATTTTAATAATAAAAGTTACGAATAGCGATAATAAAAATAATTGTTTACATTTAATATTCATAATATATCTTATTAAGAATTTAATTTGTTACTTATATCGCCCATTAAAATTAACGATTAAACTTTCTGAAAAAGTGTAACCAAAAGAAACTTATTTTTTATTTAAAAACTATACACACACATATATAATGCACTTGTGCATAATTCACTTGAAAAAAGAAAGAGAAATTTCTCTATGATATTTTATGGTACAAACGGAAAGAAGCATCTCAGGAAAAATTTTTAGGATTTTTTTTATCGCTCTCAAGCCTCTTAAATTATCTCTCTGTATTTATAATTAGTAATTCATTCTTTGACATAAAAAACGATAAAAAAGATTTATTGTAGCTGTGTAATTTATTCAAGAAGTTGAAGAAGATGGGGAGAGGACGAGAATAAAGGAGGGTTGAAATAATAAACAGCGACTTTTACTAAGTTCTTATTGTTTTTTTTTTTTGCGTGGATGAGATTACACGATAGACGATGATTATCGATGAGGAGACAAGCTGCGAGCTGCTATACAAACTTTCACACGCCTTCACTGAGGTCGACGGCTACCGGTCTGATGATCTTTGTAGTCAGTAGGTAATATGGTACCCATGTTGCTCGATCGAGTAACTCGACGGGATCTCCGCGATCGGCACGGAATAAGCGTACGGTGATAACTAATAATGATAAAAAACATAAAGAATTTTATTTCGATTTCTTGGAGACGCAATTTTATTATAGCGCGCGATTTTAAAATATAAAAAAAAGATCAATTTTAAATACAAAATATGTCAAATTTAAGATATAGTAGGTAGATATATGTATAATAGTGCTATGTGAATCAAAGCACGGGTGTTGAGATGCAAAAAATTTTTATTACAAATCAACACAGAATAATAATACAGATTTAGAAACATTTTAGCCCAATTTTTAGGCTCTCCTGATCGAATTGTAACCGATAATAGTGATCACGTGTAAACATAGCCGCATATTGTTTACATGTGATTATTATTACCGATTACAATCCGGCCAGACTGAGGAGAGCCCAAAAAATGGGGCTGAAACGTTTCTTATCATTATTCTGTACTGATTTGTAATAAAAAGTTTTTTGTGATAAATCTGCGCTTTGATTTTTGCAGTATTTTTTTCTGTTAAATGTATAACTTGAAATGTAGATTTACGAATGTTTGAGTTTCAAATTAAAGCTATCCGTAATTCACTCTATAAAATATTCTCTAATCCGCTGCTTTATCCGTCCACATGAATCAAATTTCAAACATTTAACGGAACACGATGTTGGGAAAATTTGCATTTCAACTTTCGGTACTTACTTGCGGCAGAACGGGCGCGTATGCGAGGCGTGAAAGCGGTGCGAACACCGGGGTGCCGACCGGTGCGACGAGGGGGGCGAGCTTGGTGGTTGATGCCGGAGTCTTGAGATCGGTGACGAGGGCGAGCGATTTCGGGATTGCCACCGGGACCGACGTGGGTGCGGACCACGCCAGACCGGCGAGAACCAGACTGAGGAGGATCTGCAAGTAATCGTCGCGCGTCTGCCGTGAAAAAGCTTACTTTTATTTAAATTGGAAAACTTGGTCGCGCACGGCACGTCGGCGAATATAAGTAACCGTTGAACCGCGCGAAGCAAATGAGTCTACGTGACGCAAATACCGGGAAAACACTTGCCGCGCCTAACGGCGTTGAGCGCGATGCACTTCCGGACAATGGATTCGAATAATCGAAACATGCGCGAGGAACGCCGCGTGTACATGCAAGCGTGAAAATTATATTCGCGTCAGCTCCGTCGCGGTTTAATTAAATTTTGGAAAGATTTATCGCGGATTGCACTTCACGGGCAAACGTTGGTTTTACTTACGAATCGCAGCATGACGACTTGGAGCGAGGATTCTACGCGTATGCACTCGGGAATGATGTACTCTGTGGTAGTGCGCGCACCAGCTTGGTCTCCTCGTACTTATAGAGGTCTCGGGAGATGCTGTAAAAAGTAGACTCGTCCGGTACTACAAAAGTTCCTAACTGCTGTACCGCCGCATTCCTCCCTCGGTCTCAGGGACGGACAAGGTTGCGGTTGCAGCGCGCGATATGCATCCCGGAGCCGGGATGTGCACCGACCGTTTGCATTATATCCACTCCTAGATTAACTATAATTTATGATACACAGGCAGAGAAACAGGATTGCTTTAATGAGAGCTGGAATTAATTAATGCTGCTGCAACTGAGTCTAATCCATAAGAGAATTCTTTCATCAAATATTGATAAATCGCGAAATTATCGCTGCAAAATAATGGATGATAGGGGGCGAATCTCGTTGCGATTATTTTCTGGAACAAGGAATATTCATTAGCGCGTGAGCTTTAGCGGCGTGGAAACAATATCGGCGCCATTGTCATTTCGCTGGCATCGCATTCCGTTAAATATAGAGCGTGTAAAAACGTGCAGGGCGATGCAGTGCATCGATAAGAAAAATGCTTCGTCCCATGAAACGTTTCTTCCATTACTCCCCATTTCTACTTCTTTCTATTTCAAGAAACAATCCCGGCGCAAAAGCCCTTCGACTTCGCATTTTTCAATTATCGATCCACGTCTCTCGGTCGCGGCACGTACGTTCTACACTGTAATTCTCTCGCCGGGTATTTTCTCCGCCGCGTGTACGTGTCCGCGCGTACATGCACGCGCCCGGCGCTCGCGGTGTAGGACGTGATTTAAGAAAGGGAGACGCGAGAAGGTTCTCTCGTTGGACTACGCGACTCTACGGATACCTCACCACACGCACGATCGGAGGCTCGCCGTACGGCGCTCCGTCGACCCGGGGATACCGAGGTCATTAGCAATACCCCGCGGTTCGTTCACCCGAGACCTTGAGGATGCGAGCGCGATCGCTCCTCCGAGGCGGTCGCGCATCCGACAATTGGTATCGCGGATATTTATAGCGTCGAAGCGTGACAAATGCGCTGGCAGAATTGTTTTGCGCAGATCCTAATTGTGCAAGCGACTCCAGGTGCGAGAGAGAGAGAGAGAGAGAGAGATAATAAAAACTATAAGAATTCTAAAGAATCGTGGATGAAAGAGTGAGTTGGGTACGACAGGGAGTAATCTTTGTAGGTATTCTACTTATTCAAGTGTCAAGTGTACGGCTCAGACGTAAAAATGCATGAAGATTTATTAAGAAATTTACATTGAGTATAGCCAATGTCTTTCGACAAATATTCGCAAACGTGGTCGGCCCGGCCTCTTTCCCAGGCCAAAGACTGCCGGTTTCGACACACTCGTCGCGTCACGACGTGCTTCATCGTGCGAGCATTCCCGAACTTAGGATTAGTCCTCGGAGTGATCTACGAGGGCGACGTCGACCGTGAGGATGATCGGGAACGACGGTGACGGTTTCGGATGAGCAATTTTTCGAATGCCAAAGACCGATGATGATGGATGATCCTTTAACTTTAGAGAGCATACAATGAAGATCGATAATTCACATTTACGAAATTTACGAATGCCTGCTTTTTACCAAAAAAAAAAGAAGAAGATCGATTCTTCAATTTTGAATAAGATATTCCCAAATAAGTTTTTAATATTTCTGTACGAAAGAAATGTTTTAGATTTTGTCGAGTTGTAAAAAAATTCAGACACGCTCTTTAAAGTCACACGAGTCTTAAGGTCTTCGTTGGGCCGGCGAGGTGTTGAATGCTATGTCCATAACTGGACACGGTTTTTTCGGCGACCAGCTGATGAGGATACGCCGAGTAGTAGATGGGCGCGTAGTGATGAGGATACGCTAATCCGCGAGCGGCGAGCGTGGGTATCGCAACGTGCGACTGAATAGGTGGTTTCGCCACCCCGATCAGCGGCTGGGCATTGTGGATCACTTGATGCCCGTGGGCCTCGATCGTCCTCTCGGCGACCAGGGCGGCCTTCGTCAACGGCTGCGCGATCTCGACGATCGGATGCTGCACCAGCGCTACGTCCGCGTGCTTGAGGAACGCGGGCTGCGCCACGGCAGCCACCAAGGGCGCCGACGCGTGCACCACGCTGTTACCGTGAGCCTCGATGACCTTTTCGGAGACGAGCCTGCCGACGGCGGGAGCAAGAATAGTTCCACATTGCACGGAGACGATGCTCGCCAGCACGGAAACAACCACCTGCGAAAAGAACGATTGCCGCGGATATGAAACTTTCGAGTGTTTTCGGAGAAGAATGGAACGCCGCCGGGGTTAATACTTTCTGACAGTTTCCCGATTTCTCAGCGGATCGAATAGCGGGACGTTCTGTTGTCAAAGTGTGCTTAGAATAACGTTTGCCAGCTTGATAATTGATAGAACTTAATTCTCCAATTAAGAAACGTATATATTTTTCAAGCGCTATACAATTTATATGAACTTGAGAGAACTTCCGTTTTGATTGCGAATGATGAATATTTAAAGAACAATGCGAGGAAAAACACGGGTCTTACCAACTTAAGCATGACGATGGGCTTTCGTTACTTTATGATCAGAACCTGGGACCGATCTGCACACGCGTGAGTCTACGCGTGCTTATATAGGAGAGTACTTCCGTTATCTTCGGGAGACCTTCAAGGTCCGTGCAATAAGAGCTCAACGCTCTGCCGGTCTATAGTTTCACGGATGTCGGGGAATATTCAATGCACCGAAGGCATCCACGTTCTTGTCTGAAAATATGTACGTGTGTAAAATATCCTGCGAACGTATTTCTTATTTGCATAAAATATGAAGGATTCTCGAGAGTCGAGATATGTGAATTCCGAAAATTATGTCTTAGAAATGTTTTCTACTTCAGTATTATTCTTCTGAAAATAAGAATATCAAATAGAAACCTACAAATCTCAAGAGCATTGCAAATAAACATTGGAGATTATGTAATAATATAATTTAAGGCAAGGACAAGTAGAAGTAACTTTGAATATGCGGTGGAAATTGGAATTGTGAAACAAACTGGCGGTGTATTACGAAAATCGTGGCGGATGAAGGATGTTACGGATTACGTTCTTGCTCGTTGGTCTTGAAAACGTTAAGCTTTTTGTCATCGCCATGAGTTTGTGGGGTATACTTGACGGTCGAACAAAGGGGCTACCTCTCGCGATCTCGAGACTTTACTTTTACTCTTCACCTCCTGGTAACAATAAGCACTTACGCCACAGAAGCAAGAGTGGTGCTCCCCGAAGAGGACGCACAAAAAGCGCTCGCGCGTGAAATTACGGTCGAAAACGCGCTTAATCTTAACGATCTCATTTATTCATTTTTGTAGGTGTATGAAATTAAAGAAGGCGAATCCGACAAAAGGCCGTGTCGCAACGAAAAAGAGAATAATATTACATTCTGGATGGAATTAAAAATTAGTTGAGTGGCTAGTTTCCTCGCTTTCATCAAAGATATTAACGATTAATTTTATTAAGACGAAAATGAGGCTCGTAATGTTTACATTTTTTTTTTATTATAATTTAAATATTTATCTCTCCTTGTAATTAAGATCGCATATATCTAATGTTCGCAAAGATTTAAGCTGTTTCATATAAAATTACATAGCTATTTTCTAACGTAAAACATGCAGTTGACACATTCGATACTTTACGTATCTAGCAACGTATATGTACAGATGCATCTACACTTTTCTTCGCGAGGTGCGAGATATTGAATAATTCGCCAGACACTTCTCTCTCTCTCTCTCTCTCTCTCTCTTTCTTTCTTTCGTGCGCAGGGACTTTCGTAAAGCTCCCGTAAAGAATTTAGCGAGTTAGGTTCGTGAAAAGTGCATGGGCGGGTTTGTATGTTTCCTGTAAATATATTCAATACGTGACCCGACGACGCGCGGCGAAGTTTCGCTCGCGAGTGTGTCGAGAAGGGGGCAGGGGGCGAAAGGGGAGGAGGCTAAAGCTGAAACTCAAACAACCGTTGATCGCCAAGTCGGTAAACACTTTTCATCGAGTCGTTCCAAATCCTATTTTGAGAAAAGCCTCACGTAAACGGATATAGGTAGGTGGACGTACTACGCGGGCGTGGCGCGCGCGGGTTGTGTATCCAAATAAAAAAGTATAAGAACGAGATCGTCCCGTGATCACGGCGCTCCGTGTTTGCCGATCGCTCGTGCGAGGAAAAAGTTCGAATTCTTCGGGAGCGGGCGAGCGCGAGCGAACGAGCGAGCGTGGAAAAATCTGCGATCCTCGGTAAGCCCCGAGTGATGCGCGATGCGGAGGAATTAATCCCTCGCGATTAGACATCGACGGGGTGAAAATCCAACGAAGTAATCATTAGAATTTGCGATAATCGCTTCCTCTCTCCTTTTTTCGCGATAACATATATTTCTCAGCGAGTATCCTAAAGTTTTTTTTTTGATAAAGCGCAGCGCAAAGGAAGACTTGAAAATTTTAATATCCGAAAATAGAAATAAATTCTCGCAAGGTCGTAAGTTTTACGAAACGAGGGATTAATGAGGAAGAAATGAACGCAGGGCACGTTTAAGTAAAGGCAGAAAATGATAATTTTATTGATCAATCGTAGCGATCGGTCGTTCGACCATACGCGAGCTGGCTGGTACAGGTTTAATCAAGGTCTTCGGTGGATTTGCTGTCTGATCGTTGGATGGTTTCGGAGTCTGTCGACTGACCGGTCGTTGCGATAAACCATCGTCGTCACGCATCCGGCTGGTCGACGAGGTCACCGGGTTCGTCGTCGGCACGTCGGTCGTCGCGAGAGACGGGTGGCTAGAGAGGGTCCCCCTTAGTGAAGAGCGACGACTGGAGCGTGGGCGGCATAGGCGAACGGTGCATGAGCGACGACGGGATGGGCGGCGACGACTGGCGCGGCTTTGACGACCGGCGCGGCGTAGGCAACTGGCGCGGTGTAGGCGACCGGGGCAACCAGCGGGCTCTTCAAGGACACTTTGTAGGTATTGGCGTAGCTGGTGGCGAGCGGGACGGAGTGGGCAACCGCTACCGCGGGTGCCGCGACGACCGGCGCGTGAAGAGCGGGCGCCGCCAGGTAGCCGGGTGCGGCGGTGGCGCAGGCCAGCAGGGCGAAGAGTGCGACGAGCTTGAACATGGTGGCGGGTGAAGAAATGCGCTTCGTACTTCGGCGGAGTGCTGAAGAGCGAATGATGCCTGGATGCGGCGTTTAGGACCCCTTATATTCGCCGGGACTGACCTCTCCCACCTCTCTCGACGGCCGGCACCAGGCACCCGGCGGTTCCTTATTCCTCGCGTCTCGCATCGTTCCGATGTTCGTTTTTTGTTGTGCGCTTGCTTGCTAAAGGAGCACTGCCAAGGACTGCCGACCCTTCACCGCCTCTGCCGATCGCGTGTGTGGTTCGAAATATCGCCGGTGCCCTCGCGCGCGCGCGCGCGGACGCAGCCTCGGCGGAGGCTCGGTTGTCGATCATCGTTTTATTTCGCCGAGAAGGACGCGATTATGTTCGAAAGGGCGGCCGTGATCATCGACGACCTTATCTCCGGGCGCTCTTTGTGCGAGCGCAGGTATCATACAAACGTAAACGGAGGTTCAATGACATAGCCTCAGCTATCGATCATCAAACTCTCGATGGTGGCTACAAGTGGCGCGTCAGGCACGAACGCGTATAATTATTAAACGATTTATTATGTGTACCTGCTAGCTTTCGGGTTGGTCGACGGGCCGAAAATACGAGCTCGAAACGCCTCGGGCGACAGCGATAGTCGGAGCGGACTGCCACTTCCCTGATTGATTCTGTTGATACCGAGATATGACATTGATAATTGCTTAATTGCTGATGCACGTTAAGAAGCTTACAAGCAATTTCGTTATTGAATTGTGCTTTGTCGTTACGTTAATTTATTATATCTAGTGTCTAAAATGCACCTCGTTAACAATATTTGAGCAATTAAAGTACGTGCGGGCCGTTAAAGCGGCGGAGTTTCAATTAAAATGGTTAACCCGTTAGCGCAAAGGACGCTCTCTCAGGTTGTTTGCCCTGACTTTGGTCGTTTAGAAGGCAACGCTCCTCTTCCTCTTTGTACTTTACCCCATTTTATGCATTGCAACGATTTACGAGCTGGGTCGCCTTGCTCGCGGGCTTTTCTCGGCGGTTTTATTCTACGAAATACCCGTACGTTGTTTTAATAAACGTATATGCACAACAACTCCCTTTTTTTTTTTAAAGCACTCGAAACTAGAGAAGTTTTTAAAAGCTCCCATGTGATCTGCGATTAATTAAGAACAATTCATAAGTAATTAGATTTTCCTCTCAAGCAGTTAATCTTAAATATAGTAAATAATTTAAAAGAAATTATTTTTTCTCACAAATAATTTATGTTTTTATTTATTAAAAAAATAATAACTTTGCTTTTTTCTTTTCTGAAGACTTTTCTTAATTTTGTAAAATTTTCTTAAATTTTTCGTCTCCTTTATTTCTATATTAACAATATTTTTTGATAAATGATCGAGTTAATGATTGAATAATGCATATCGAGCGCCTGTCACGCCTACTTATATTACGTTCAAAGTCGAGACAGAACGGGTGGCGCAGACCGGAATGAAGAGGGGAGAGGCATTGTGACACGAGTCGCGAAAGTAGATGCTCGACTTACACAATTTTGCACGACGCGCTCCGCATACGACAACATGTAATATAAGCAAAGCATGTGTGTTGTGTTCTTTCTTTTCTTGGTCCCGTGCGTTACGCAGATTGTCACCGTTCTTGCGCAATCACGCATTGACAATGGCAATGCGTGACAACTCGGCACTCGACTCGAAAATCGCAGCGATTCTCCCATGCAGCCGTGACAGCCGGCTAGATGTATGTAACATCGGGATTATCGACCGCATCTCTACGCAACGGCGTGTGTGCGTCGCATAAAATATTCTTGCGTCTTTACGCAAGATGCATCCGCGTCTCTCTCTCTCTCTCTTTCTCTCCTGATCAGCGCCAGTCGGCTGAATTGCAGTGATAGGTCGCAATGATATATTAAAATTTCACGATCGTGTCCCGTAATATGTTTAATCGGAATGTATAATGCACGAGTTTATAGATTTATACGTATATTTAATTTATTATTAAACTGATGAATTTATAATTCTGGCACCACAAATTCGTTTCCACGTTCAAACGCTGCGGAATTATTTACATACGATAGACCACTGTTGCAGTCATTAAATTTATACGGTAAATTATTTTCCCAGGGGTGAGGAGTGTTGGTGCACATCCAGCCGCAATTTTCAGTCGAACGAGAAGCAACGATTAATAATCGCAAATTACACGACACGATCACCCGATCTATCGATCACCGGCGCGGCCGGCGCGGCGTGCGTCTCCCCGCTCCTTCTTATCTGCCCGAAGCGATCCAAATCTCCCGATCGGCGAAATTCGGCAATTCCGGAAGACCTTGGCCCGCGTAAGCGCCCGGGTCGCAGCCGCTTCTGTATCACGCGGTAGAACGATAGGGAACCAGTTCTCTCGATGCGTAAGAGGGGTTTCGGTCCTATAAAAATGTGCTGCGAAACGGTCTTCGGTATCCAGTCGAGTAGCACTCGTAAGCCAACCCGTACGAATCTTGCTCGTCAGCGACTTCTCACGCACATCATCATGTTCAAGCTCGCCGCTCTTCTCGCCCTCGTCGCCTGCGCCGTCGCTGCGCCCGCACCAGGCCTGTTGGCGTCCGCGCCCGTCGCTTACTCGGCGCATCCAGCATCCCTTGTGCACGCAGCCCCGGTCGCGACCTACGCCGCACACGCCGCACCGATCGCAGCCCCGATCGCCTACGCCGCGCACGCCGCCCCGATCGCCTACGCCGCGCACGCCGCCCCGATCGCCTACGCCGCGCACACCGCGCACGTCGCCTACGCCGCACCTGCTGTCAGTTACATCCACTGAAATGGCATATCTTTCTGGGACGAGGCTGAACGGTTTTCCAGCTATGGGCTCGAATCGACATTGTCTGCGATGTCGTCTGGCCGTTAGAGGGAAATTATAATATTTTTATAACACACAGAGATATTAATAAATTAATACTTCACAATCATACAAATCGTCGTATCTCCATTTATTGCTTGCTGTCTGCGTTACACCAATCCGCCGATTCGCAACAGCGGACGTTGACGCGTTCGAAATGAGATATACGTATTTCGTCGAGTAAAAAGTATAATCCGCTTATAGTACTTAGGTCTCAAAAGGAATTTTAATGCCAGCCTACGTTAAAACGCTTGAATTACGGGCGAAGCCAAATGTGCTCGTACATAAGTCAGAAGGCCTGCCCCGGCCGTTTTACGTAATTTCATTTTTATTTTAATGTTGTAATTTCGGTAGGCCGCTGTTCAACTGCGGTGCTAAAAGATTTTCGGAATATTTTTAGAATATTGTGTAAAGCGACGGATGGATATTTATTTTTAAATATACTTATTATCAGTTGCGTAACTGCAATGAATAAGAATGGTACTTGCGTTCTGTCCTTTTGAAAATAATTTTAAATAAAGCAGATATTACCGAAAAGTGTTTCATTCATTGCACACAATTAGTATTCAGATGGAAACACTTGGCGGCGATATTTTTTTATTCGCATAAAGTTGCTGCAAAAAAGTGAGCGTGCAAATATTTTTAGCTTGTTACAACTTTTTAGCTTTAACTGCGTAACAACGCTACATATTTAATGAGGACGAATTCAGAAATTTGTATAATTTATTGCCAACAAAAAAGTTGCTGGCGTAGATCACGCGACGCGAGGTCAACTCGCAATGAATCTACGATACGCCGTAGAAAGTTACCGCGACCTTCCCTGGCGAATCGCATAACTCTTCTATACGCAACAACGCTCATCGTAGGGACGTCGCTCAAAGTCACTTATTTCTCGATCCCGAAATAAACCCTGGGCCACGGATTGTTATTGCGCAATCACCGCGCGCTCTTATTACAAACTGTATACAGGCTCCGGGCGACGCGGTAATTGACAGTACGTCTACATTACGCTCACGCAATAGGATTGATACGGCTATGTGATATTGCGTTTATATTCACTTTACAGCGGGGAGGTATGTGAGGCATTAATTACAATGCATCGGGGCCGTGCGATTCTAATCGGGAAATTGCTTGATATTACAATGGAAGCTACATGCGATGCTTCGGTCTAAACTGGCATTAATATTTTAAAACGCGTTGGCAAACCAAAATCGAAAATGATACATCATTTACACTTTATTATTTATTAATGTGCGGAAAGATTCTTCTCTTTGCAATCTTGCGGATATAGAAACGACCGAAAAAGTATATTCTGATTAAATTTTTAAAATCCCTTTTCAAGCATTTTCTTCTCATATTTGTTATTTACGAAGATAATATTTGGTCCTATACACTTTTAACCAGTTTAATTAAAATCTATTAATATTGCGACAAGTAAATCCCGCGACTTCCGGCAGAGTTTATTACCACCGAGTCTGGAAAATGGAGCGCGGCCGCGATCGCGTATACGTTCGCTTTTCCACGGCCGCTATGAGGAAATTCATTTTCGTTTTCCGGAGCGTTTCGCTCCGAGGACAACGCTGTACATACGCACGCACGCACATTTCTCGATCTTTCTCGCCGATCCGCGAAAACGTGCCGTCTGGGCGGAGTCCGTGAGGCGACGACCCTGCTCCAATAAATCTAGAGCACGATCGCGTGCAACGATAAGTGAGAAAGTAAATAAATGAATGACCGACTGTCCGCGGTTGGGACCCTTGACGTCGTAATATTTCACATATTTCGCCACTATACTCAGTGCTCGCCTCGGCGAGCATGACGAAGAATAAACGAGAAGCGTAAGCGGCGCACGACGGTTAATATACAGTTGGTCCCACAATCACTGGATGTGTACCTTTTGCCATAAACTCTGCGGTCAAATTAAAGTCCTTTTTTTTTTGTCGACAAAAACAGCGAACTATCAATAAATACGAAATAATTAGCGCGCAAAAATAAAGGGCTTTTACATAAATAATAACAAGTTTCGGGGGAAGTAATAAACAACAAAATTGTGTTTTCCAATTAATTTCGGATTGAAAATAAACAGGATTTGAAATTGAGATTTAGCTTACATTGGCATATAATTAATTAGAAAGAAAAACATATTTTGCAAATCGGCCAAAAGACTGAAAAAACATTCGATGGTTCTTGGACGACCTGTATTCGCCCGGGACACCGTCGCGCAAATTAAATTCGTGTGAAACGAGAACGCATAATTCGTCGAGTATCTCCTTTATCGATCTACCCTGGACAGAGATGTTGACTTTAAAGGAGTCGAATTGCTTCGCAAACAGCTTGCAAGCGCGTACCTTGTCATGTACATCAGTTTAATCGGCCGGTCTTGCGTTTATTAAAGCGGAAAATCTTATCTTTGACATATCGGAGCTGATAATATCCTTTGCGTCTAAATAAATCGAGGTAAATTAAATGTTATCTCAATCGAGCATCCCATTAAAGCTTACAATCAATCGTCGATTTCAAGCTCTAACAATAAAAGCCGAGCTCCGAAGCCTTGTTAAATTGTTATCCGCTAATCTATATCTGTCACGTAATTGTCAATTTCTAAGGTTAATTGGAATTCCGAATTATTCAAGAACATTATAGCTGTCCGTCAAAGTAATTGGGTATATTATTGCCGCTTATCAAAACGTGGGATTAAATGTGGAAAGGCCTTAATATGGTGAATGCGTGTTATATAAAGCGCGTATTATTATTATTATTATATAAAATCGTGAAATTAAAATTACATCGCGGTAAAAGGACCAAAACAACCAATCATCGATCGGGATAAACAAAGTTCGCAATTGCCTCGCCTTAGCCTTGATCTACTCTTAAGTCTCGCTTCTTCTGTGCATACGGTGCTCTACACCTCCTTCTCACCTTGCGCAACCTCTTACGCTCCGCTGGATGGACGGATGGTCTAAGACCGAATGTATAAAAGTCTCTAACAATCGCGTCTCCGGTCAGACGAGACGGACCTCTGCGGGGCGTAAGAGCGCGATTTGGATTCGATAGCGATCGACGATAGCGAAACCGCGGTATAAGTCGCGTAACAAGCGCGAGAATAAAAATTCAACGATATGATTAAATAATAAGGCGAAAATAACATTGAAAATAACATTGGAAGCATAATGATCCAAAGTTAATTAGCCGGGCGATATAAACGTCTGAAACATGTTATAAAGATGTCCTTGTTTTTTTGGAACATTTTTGTAATCATGTTTAACCAGATGCTCGATTAAGATAACATTCCATTTACCTTTTCAGCCAGCTGAAAGCTGGTATTTCTCTGGACTTTATTTCTAGACATTTTTGCGGCGTCTTTCGGTCTCATAATAATCTAAAGTGTCGCAGAAACGCATTGTAAGAAGGGAAAAGACGGTGTATAAAAGTTGAAAACGTGTATTATAAACATGTACATAGCCGATGACAAAGTTTGTGGCAGTATGGGCGAGCAGTAACGCCGGCCGTTACAGTCGAACTCGTCGAAGAGCAGAGTTACTCCCAAATATTTTGGTTATCTTTAATCAATAGTATCCGCCGCCGTGGCCGTAGCCGAGTCCATAACCGAGTCCGTATCCATGGCCGAGTCCGTATCCATGGCCGAGACCATATCCATGGCCGAGACCATATCCATGGCTGAGTCCGTATCCGAGATTGTTGTGCAAGTAGGTGACGGATGGCGGCACAGTGTATCCGTAGTGGCCGTAGCTCACCGCTGGCGCGGCATAACTTGGAGCGTAAGCCACTTTTGTGATAGCAGGTGCGGTATACGCGACTTTGGTAATGGCAGGTGCAACGACTTTGGTGACAGCCGGAGCAACGGCGACCTAAAAATTATTTCGGTCATTACTTCGTCTTACTTAGACATCTTAATTAATTATCTTCTTACGACGTATCACCCTCGTTAAAATTTATTTCAAAATTATTCCATTATTTCATTTTCGGTCTGAGACTTCTTCTGCTACGTCGTGAAATGGTCGTTCGCGCAAGGGCTGATACGTGTTACTTTTATCGTATCACTTTTATACTATATAACTGGAATTTTCGGTCTCTCACAATGAGCCACTGTCGAAGCGACGCTGATAATCCTTTCCTCGTGTCGTAACGTCCGGCTACACGTCCAACGTTTGAGCGCTTACCTTGTACGTATTGGCGTAACTGGTTGCAACTGGAGCGTGTGCGTATGCGACCGCAGGTGCGATCGCCGCTACTCCATGACCCAAACCGTAACCGCCGTAGCCGTAACCACTGCCATAGCCACCATAGCCACCATAGACTCCTCCGTATCCGGAGTAAAGGCCGGCGGACGCGTAGGCGACGGTGGCGAGAAGAACGATCTGCGGTAAAGTGTACGCGCGTGAAGAATGTCCCTTCATTCCTTTTACGACGAAGTAATCACAATGGAATTCGGGGCGAAATACGACTCTGCGCGTTGTGCAATACGAAAAACATTTGCGGAATCGTGATCAATATCCATAAGAAGGTCTCCTTTTTTTTTCACTCCATGTGCGTGAGCACGCATTTGTTGATAAAATGATTTAATGACATTTTTCTCTCTCAGGTTTTGCAAATAATAATAAATGAGAAAATATAAAGCTCATTAAGGCAAAGCTTGCCTCCGAGAATAACAATGTAAAAATAAAAGCTAAGATTTATAAGCTAAGATTTATTTATAAAGATAAGTTTTTTATGTTGTAATATAAACGGAAAAATATGTTATAAAATTATGTCATAAGTTACAAAACACAAAAATAGATGCTATAAAAATATTGAAGGTAAATATAAAAATATTGTATGTGAGTGTAAAACCGATCGCGTATACGCGCAGAAAACGTTTTCCCGCGAATTCCTGTGTGACGAAATATTCTCTCAATAGAAATTCCTATACGAGATTGTCCTAAATGATGAGGCAAAGTTTATGAGCGAACGGTTCACATCGTCACGTATAGCCTTCGGCTTTATTTACGCATATCCAGGATGATTTCAACCACGTATCTATTCATATGATATGAATGAAACGAGCGTATTCAAGTGCGATAAAATCGCGCCCGCGGCGGCATGTAAAGTTCACAGCAAATGTTACCGCGGATCATCCGAGAAATTTCTCACGATACCGCGAGTTGACTCTCCCTGCAGCCGGAGAAATAAATCTAATCTCTCTCTCTCTCTCTCTCTTTCTCTTTCTCTCTCTGTCGCCGGATAAGAGTGAAATTATAAGAGTACCAAGTATCATTTTCTGAAGTAAACATTTTCAAATCTAGCAGTATATACATAATTCCCGTGCGCTCTCGCCTTTTACTTCTCTTTTCTCTGGACAAACGAACGAAGAATAAAATACGAAAAGATTTATGAAAGAACGCGCGAAAAGTCTCCGAGATGTCTTCTTGCCACTCTTCGCGTCACTTGGGCGAGATCGCGTCGATACACTCTATCCCGAGAAAAGTTCCGCCAAGCTCTTTTTTCGCCCCGAGTACCACGAGTACTTTACTCACCAGCTTGAACATGTTGCTGCGGATGTTTGCGATGTCGGTACTGTGGACTGACTACATCTCACGTACCCCGCTAGGTCACTTATATAGTCCCGGCGGATTGTTTTTACCCGCGCTCGCGTGCTAGAATCCAAGGGGGAGAGTTGCGGAAAAAAAAAGACTTTTGTTTTCCCTACCAATGGGCAAGGCGATTTCGTAGGTGAGGTGTACGTCGATGGAAGGGGTGCAGCACACCGGTGCTCGTTACGCGCTCACCTAGATCCTAGATCCTTTGCGGTGCCGCCGGATGATTCGTCGCGCGGTCTCCGCGCGCGGTTCGCGCGAAGGACGAAGCCATTATCGGATCGGGGAGAAAAAGAGGTATCGGTCGTTCGATTCCCATCGTGAGAAAAAGCGCATTCGTGCCCACCTTGAGCGTACACGCGCGAATAAGCGCGAGCCGAGGAGAAAAAGGGAGAGAGAAGAAGGGAGGGAGGGAGAGGGAGAGAGAGAGAGAGAGAGAGAGAGATTCTCTCTGGTGTTCTCCTTCGTCTCTTTCCATCGGCCGGCTTCTTTCAATCGCTTTCTGTAATTATTCGCGCGTCTATGATCTTGTCTGTGCTCCGCGAAGCGTGAGCAGGGCAGCACGGGGACCTCGACCGGTCGAATGTGGCACGCGGAGGTGCGACACCGAGGAGAATTCATACTTCTTTCGCGCTATCATTAATTTCTCTCATTATCATTTTTATTATTCATATTGGTTTTTCGCTGCAAGCCGATATCTGATAAAAATATTATTTATTTCATAATATTATTAGAAATTTATGTTACCTCTCGTGCGTCTCTGATACATTTTTTAAGTGTTGGGAGAATATAGCTCCGCGCGCTCGTTTTTATTACACGCTACGATATTATTATCACACATTTTATATTTTTATTTTCATCCACCGCATATATTATGCACTATGTATAATCTCGGCCCTATATTTTCCCATGTTCGCTCTCCTCCATAAATGCGCCGCCCCGCGTCTCGCATCGATCTCATCACTTCTCCGATCGAAGGATGAGTGGGTGTGTCGCGAGTGTCGCTTCCGGTCGCCGCCGGAGCGAATAATGAATCATCATACGCGGTGAACTCGTGGAAATGCGTTCTATTCACAGTTTGCAACTAATATTACATTGTACGACTTGATTATTCATGGAATCCACCTGTGATAATAATACAGCTCGCGTGCAAAAAATGAAACTTCATTAACCGCGGAGTAAACTTTTTTTTTTTACACACTCTTTCCCTGTTCGCCTCGCCCAATGTCGTATACTCGCAGCCTTGCTAGTCGCGGCGGATTATCGTCGTCCTTATTGCGACTCGCGCACTTACACGTCACCTCGTACACACCTTTCGTAAACAGGTAGTAGTACCGCAACCGTGCAAATATTCCGCGTAATAAACGTTTATTATCCACTGTCGCCTTCTTAATTAAGCTGCGTCATGCGTATATGCATATGTGTGCTAGGAAGTTTTCATTAAATTGTTTATTTGCTCTTCCGGCTCTCAGATCGTCACCTCGGAAACTGAAATAGCAGCTCCGCCCTTGGATATTCTTAGAGATCATATATTAATATATGTACATTTTTTTTAATAAACTGCGTTCTATTCTACTGATAAATTCCTTCATCAATTTGGAATAAACTCTTCTTTTAAAAAAAGGTTTACTACAAAAATTCTATCAAATTCTTATTTAATATTACACTTGAAAAATGTTCAAAAATCTGTACTTGTAGATTGAAATTGTATTTTTTCGTAGAGATTTTTATTATCGCTTTATTATCGCGGCAAGTAATTTTTTTTGTAAATCATGTTGTACATTGGAGTTAAGTGCGCACTTCGCTAAACATTCCTCACCGCTTTTTGCTGGCTCTTTTTTCACGTTAGACCGCCATTTGTATCCAAGTGAACCCTAATGGTTTACGACGCGATTAACTTACCTGCGCGGCCCGATGTCTGCCCTTACGTGTACCCGCGAGGTACTACGCCTAGTCCGATCGCGAATTGGGGCTAACGAAGATAAATATCGGCGCAATATACATCGTAAAAGTGAGCTACTGTACGACGTATTGTATATATATATATATATATATATATATATATATATATATATATATTATTATTATATATATAT